GTAAAGCCAGATAAGGTAGATGGATCTACTGGAGGTCCCTTTGCAGCAACCCATGAGGTTTTGGGATACTGCTCAGGCTTCCAGTAAGTCCCATCAGCATTGAGTTTCCTTTCAAAGGCGATACCTTCTTTCCTAGGGTTCCTGTTGAGGATCTGCTTTTTAAGCACATCACAAAGAGCCCGATGCCCTTTGAGGCTTTTGTACATGCCTGTCATGTACAATTCCTTCAGCCCTGCATCATCAGTGATACTAGCATTGTCCTCAGATGAGGAATTAGTGATAGCAGAGACAAGTGAAGAATTTGTAACATTAGAAGCATTTGAACATTCAGGTGAAGAATTAGCAGCTTCTCGTTCAATGCACTTCAAACATGGAGGAACAAATTCTTCCTGAGTAGCGTTGATTTGTTGAGCAAGTAATGAATCGCGCTCCTTCTGAAGATCTTCATAACTCACTCTTAGCGTTTCAAGATCTTGCTTTCTTTGAAGAAATTCATAGGAAAGCTTCTCATGATCAGATAAGAGAGTGTTATGATGACCTTGAAGGGTGTCAAACTCAGACTGAAGTCTCTGAAGACTTTCAGCCAAAGCTTTCGACTGATTCATTTCTTCACCCAACATATCATCCTCTTACCCAGCATGTATTGAACTTTTTCCAAAGCTCTTTGTTGTTTAGTGGCAAGGGAAGCAAGCTTGACATAACTGGGTCCAAATTCATCACCAGATTCATCATCACTTGACTCAGATAGGTAGCATTCAGTTACCTTAGCACCTTTTTCCATAAGGCATGGAAGATGATGATTCTGGTTCGAATGTCATCGCTTTGAGTGATTCCTTGAAATCCTCAAACCAAGGATCATGACGGGTTCGATGACCTTCATAGACCTCAGAGAGACGGTCCCAGATAAGCTTTGCATGATTGAGATGCATGATATTCCTGAAATGATTTTGAGACAGACAGGAGCAAATGACGTCCTTCGCCGTGAGGTTGAGAAGAGTACTTGTGAATGTCATCAGCTTACGCCATCTTGCACAGATCGGTAAGACCAATCTAAGTGACGGTCCACAGTTCATTGTTCATCGCCATGAGGCGCTTTTTTATCATGCCCTTCCACTTGGGATAGTCGTGACCATCAAAGATGGGGCATGACACAGTCTTCATTCCTGCGATCGACATAATTAAAACTCTAGGCGGTTAAACCAAAATCACACAGAACAAGGGAGTACCTTGCTCTGATACCAATTGAAAGTGCGTTATATCGACTAGAGGGGGGTGAATAGGCGATTTTTATGAATTCTTCAATGAGGAATTTTAGGGTGAGGAAATTCCTAAGCGAAGAACTACTTGCAGCGAAATAAGTACCCAGATGCTAACATAACATAACAGAAGCATGGTCATCATGATGAAATGAAAACAGACACAGAGTACCGGAAGCGTAGACACAGGATAAAACAGGATGAAGACAAACAGACTGAAGAAACTGAACTGAGGAAATTGAGAAAGTCTTCAGTCAAAGTCTTCAAACAGATATGAACAAGCACACAACACAGTAACGAGGAAATGGAAGAGTTGAGGAAATAGAACCAGTTAGCTTGGTGAAGACAATGATTTGGTAGACCAGTTCCAACTGTTGTGACAGTTGTATGTCTGGTTGGAGCGGCTAGGTATTTAAACTTGAGGAGACACAGTTCCGGACACACAGTCCTCGCCGTATTCTCCTTGAGCTAAGGTCACACAGACCTCTCCCAATCACTCGTGGTAAGTCTTCAGGTGACTTCCAAACCTTCACAAACTCGGTCACTCGGCGATCCATAATTTCCTCTTGGATGCTCTAGACCATGACGCCTAACCATCTGGAAGATGCACAGTCTTCAAAGGTAACAAGCGTCGGATCCACGCAGGATCAATCTCTTCAGTGATGCTCAATCACTTTGGGTTTGTAGGTGTTTGGGTTTGGGTTTTCCTCACTTGATGATTTTCGCATCCTCGGAGGATGGGATGCTCTCAAATGACAAGTGTCAGTTTCTCTCGGAGCAGCCAACCAGCTAGTGGTTGTAGGGGGCGGCTATTTATAGCCTAGGGAGCAGCCCAACATGATAAGACATAAATGTCCTTCAATGATATGACCGTTAGGTGGGTAGATATTTTGGGACAGCTGGCGCGTAGCACAACAACGGTCGGATATTTGAGGCTCAAATTCCTTAGGGCTATCATGTTCCTCACTTGTAGGCAATCCGCACTGGCGAATTCCTAACTCCTCAGTCAGAACAAATTCCTCAGAGACCAGAAGAACTTCGTCAATGTCACTGAAGAAATTTGACTGAACTGTATGAGATTTCCAATGGCTTCACTTGAAGGGATTGGTAGGTGTAGGATTTTGAGTTGAGCATCACATGGAAATTTTTCCTTAGTATTTCCTCGACCCCCTTTAACAGTGCGGTGTTTCCTATGACTCAAGAAGGGGAAAAACAAACTATGAAAACAAAAGTCTTCACGCTTCATGTTCCTCGAATGAATACCAAGTCTTCAGGATCACACAAATTTCTTCACTTTCAAAGTCTTTAGATAGTCTTCAGAAATCCAAAGTCTTCAGTCGAAGATATTCATTTTTAGGGGTCAACTTTCTCTGTAAATATCAAACTCCTCATAGACTTATAGACCTGTGTACACTCACAAACGCACCAGTCCCTTAACCTAGAAGTCTTCAATACACCAAAATCACTAAGGGGCACTAGATGCACTCACAGGTGGAGAAAGATTTAGAAACATATGGCCAGTCAAATATGTTTGATCATGATTTATTATTGTTGACAATTATCTCTATGATAAATGAGTTGGGAGGCGAAACATTAAGCCCCTATCTTTCTCTGTGTTCGTTGGATGTCATTTGTTCTAAAAATATGCTTTGAGTACTAGCAATCATAGAAGACTATATAATGATTGAATATATGGAGATCTTACTTAGATTTTGCTGAATAAATTGAATTGCAATTGTTTGGTGACTGAGAACATATATTGTCAAGTTTCAAGAGAATTCATTGTTTGAACAATAACATGCGAATTGTTGCTACTTTAACACAATGCGTTTTATGAGAAAGAGTTGTTGTTATGATGCTAGAAAAAGTGATTAAAATTACTCCCTCCATTTTTGTATATAAGACCACTATCAAAATTTTAATTTGCAAGTATACAAGACCACTAACATTAATTGAGGCAAAATTGATGGCGTTTGCCTCGTACTAGCACTCGAGGACATTAATATCCCTTGTGTGCATGCGAGAGTGAGAAGGTTAGCTTGCATTCCTAACATTATTAATCAATGAGGAGTAAGAGGGTTGGCTTGTTGCACGTGGGAGAGAAAAACACATTAATTAACACGACAAACAAGGTGACAAGCTAGCTTGCAACATTGACTTAGAGCAAGTACAATAGAGCTGAGTTAGCGGGCTATAAGGAATAAACTAGTATATTTCTGCTTAGTTGGAGGAAAAAGAAGAGGAGAGAGAAGGTAAGCAGGCTTTTCGTGAAGAGCTAGCTCTAGCACGTGCTCCTAGGCACTTTGTGAGAATGAAAGGTGGGCCACATAATAAAAAAGTAGTACATTCTTTTGATCTACTATTATACATATTGGCTAAAAGATGGGCTGTAAATGACATGACACTGGCTTATAGCCAGCAGCTGGCTATACTATTAACCATGCTCTTAAACATAGCATTGATTTTTACCTTGGTACCTGTAATATGAGTTTATGGCCTTGTATACAAAAATGGATGGAGTATCATTGATCAAACTTATGCACTATGCGCATTCACACTTCATAAATTATTTCTTTTATCATTTACCTACTCGAAGACGAGTAGGAATTAAGCTTGGGGATGCTGATACGTCTCCAACGTATCTATAATTTATGAAGTATTCATGCCATGTTTACAACAATTTTATATGGTTTTGGTATGATTTGGATGAAACTAACTTGGACTGACGCTGTTTTCAGCAGAACTACAGTGGTGTATTTTTGTGTGTAGGAATCAAAGTTCTTCAAATGCAGCGAAACTTTTTGACGGTTTTTTTGAAATAAAAGATGCACTAAAGCTTCATGGGAGGGGGGAAGAGCCACGAGGCGCGCCCTGGTGTCTTGTGTGACCCACTCGTGGTTCATCTCCCCCGTCAAAAAAAGACAAAGTTGAACCACCATCAACTCACCTACAACAATAAACATATTTACGTGTGACGGGGTTGTTTGCCGTGTTGGTTTCGTCGGGTGTATGTAAACCACCACCAACTAATTCTATAAGATATCTTTACATGTGACGGTAGTTTTTCTGTCTCAAAATAAAAACTCATCATATATGCAATAAAAAAGATCAGGCTATTAAAGTTTTAAACAAAAACCTTGATGACCAATTGACCACTGAACAAACCCAAAGGGTTTACCGAGAGCAGGTGTCAGTTTGGAAGGTTCGGTTCAATGGCTGCAACAAGCACCCGGAAGTTTCCTTTGGTTTCCATCCGTCCACATCCATCCATCCAGTCGCCGATACATATACGAAAACACCCCTGAGAAAATCGAGAATACCCTCTTATCCTCTCTCCACCTCCCCACTCCCCTCTCTTTCGCGACGTCGTCGTCGACCCCTCTCCGCCGTACACGCCCACTCTCCACCTAAGCGCGCCAGGGAATTCTCTCGCCCGCTCGCCCCTTCGTCCCCGCCGCCGCCGTCGCCGTCGCCCTCCTCCGCGCGGAGGGGATCCGCCCGGGCCCGAACTCGACCCCTCCCGCTGGTAAGCGCCGCCGCGACGAACCCTAGCCCCGCTCCGGCCGTCCAAGTATTGTCGTCCCATCATCTGTGTCGCGGATTCGCTTGCCGCGCGGCGGAGTAGTGGTTAGCGGCTTGTTTTGGGAACAATTGGGGGTTCAATTGACTGAACCCTTGCCCCCACCCCTGCCCATGTGTCTGCGGTGGATTGATTGTGCTCTTTGCTTGCTGCGGAATTCAGTCATGGCGTGGGGCATCGATCGCGGACGCGAGCCTTGTAGTAGTAGTAGTACCTTCGCAGTAGTGGTTTTCAAATCTCAATTGACTGATGCGGTGTCGCACAATTGGCTTCCTGTATGTATACATAGGTCGCCTTGTTGCCGTGGCTTCAGTGGCCATAAACAGAAAGAAGCTTTTATTTTGTGGGGGATAAATAAACAGAAATAAGCTGTAGTGGGGTCTTGCTAGAAGCTCAGTTTTCTTTAATTTTTTCCTGTTTCCCGTTTCAGGACAGCCGTTGCAGTTTGGTCTCGGAGAAGATATCGGTGTGCTTATCTACTGCGGCATGGAATGAAGGTCTTGAGTGCCGTGTCTTTTTGCCGAGCTTGACACTAGTTGCGCTTCGCCTCGGAAAGTAACAAACCATGACTTCTGTCGCCGACGGTGTTTCAGGTATGGTTCTGTCTTAAAAAGCATGCGTACGGATATGGAGACACGGACACGGCGATACGCATAAGGGTACACGGGATACGTCATTTTCCAGTAGCAGCCATTCGGGGATACGTCAAGTATATATATAAAAAGTTAAAACATGCCCTGTAATATAGAGTGGAAAAAAAAGGGGAGAAACAGAGATGAGATCAGAATACTGCCCCATTTCCATCTGTTGTCTCCTTTTCAAGTGCTCAACGGCTGAATTAATTGATCCTCTAGACCCATGCCATTGCAACTTGCAAAATACATCAAATGCTAGTATTAGTCTATTAGAGAGTAGAGACTGGAGAAAACATGCAACAGAGGATGCAGGTATAACTTTCACCCTCACCCATGGACGATTCGCTACTGGCGGTGGCGCTCTGAGACGCCATGCTCCCTAACATCAAGCAACAATCAAAACAGCAGCACCAGGCACCAGCATGCAAGTGAGCAGCAGCTCAAGAGCAAGCAGCAATGGCATGGCTGCATGGGGAAGCAAGCAGCAGCAACTCAACAGCAAGAAATCAAGCAAAGAGAGGAAGAGATTGAGGAGAGGCTGCTGGGGTTATCTGCTCGAGCGTGGTGCCGTCGGGAGGTCGAGTCCAGGCGGCGGCGTCGAATCCAGGGGGCAGCAGCGGTGATGCCGTTTCCGATTGCGAGCAGCGTTCCTTCCGTGGCGAGCGTGTGTGCGACCCTGCAAACTAGGGTTTGTATAGGTCCGAGGCTGTTATTTGGCTTCCCCTGTCCCCAACGTATTCCATACGTATCCTAGCTGTGTCTGTTTTTTTTCCTTTTCTTATTTCGGAAATCAAGGGATACTGGGGGACACGCTTATCCCGGCGTGTCCGGTCGTATCGCTGCGTCCCGCCGAATTAGACGGCAGTTTGGGAGTTTTGTCCATGCTTTGTAGCTTTTGTCACCCAGTTCTTTGCCATGTCAATTTTGAACCGTAGCAGTAGTAGTTACTAGGCAGGGCAGTGTGCCATTGGAATTTTGACCATAATTGTGATGCTTTTTATGACTCTTGGCTCATGGAATTGGAGCTTTGGTATACGTGGGAATTGGGATATTGTATTTGTAGTTGTGTACCAGCACTGAATTGTGTAGCATTACACGGTAGTATAGCAGCTGTCATGTCTAATAGCTGATAAGATTACTGGACATGCTAGGATTTCATTCCTTATCTGTTGATATTATTCTGCAGTATTTGCATCGATATCAGTTGCCACATTCCATAAATGTTGACATGTTGATAATATCTACACCTTAAATTCCCAGTCGTTCCATTTTTATTAAACATACAAGGAGATCCAATCAACTATGCCTGTCTCATTTTTATGCAACAATTTCTCGTGCAGGTGATCATAGAGCTGATGAGCAGCAGAAGCAAGCTGCCGCTCAAGGGAACCAGGAAGAGGCCCCAGCTACTAGTATAGGTAGTCAGGCAATGGTGGCAACACCTTCCACAGATTATGTCACACCCTATGGCCACCAGGAAGCTTGCCATGCAATGGTATGAAACCTGTAACCTCCCATTTTTCTTCTTTATTGATTGGTACGACCACCCCTGTACACTTCTCAGATTGTAATGTCTTCCACTGAGCCCTCGTTTAAAGAAAGATCAAGGATTGGTCATAGTATTAGTTGTATTAGTTGGAGCAGTGTAATGGATACCCATAAGAATCACTATGGGTTGGTCGTTCAGTATGTATTCTTCTGCCTGACTACCTGTTCCGCATTATATTGATAGGCATCAGTGTAATAGTTTTTTCCTGGTTGAAGCACATTAAATCAACATTAATAAGAAATGATAAATCCTGAACGTTCGGGATTTGCCCATGGCAAATCGAACGTTTTTTATGGCAACTTTAGTTGACACGAGGATGGCAAGTTCAGTTGACAAGCGCGGCAATTTCCTGGAAAAAACAAACTGAGGGTGGAATTGCCACCAACTACACTTGCCATCTCTTGCGTATATAAATTGCCACAGAAAACGTTCGATTTGCCATGGGCAAATCCCGAACTTTCGGGACTTATCAGCGTCCAATAATATTAGACGATATTGAGGTCAAAACTTGTAAAAAATGATTAGGTTAAACTTTTTTTAGAAACAATGGTTAGGTTAAACTGCATCATTTCCTTCTCGTTGAGGTGATATATGAGATTTTCTTTCCTTTTAAGGCAGACTATTTTGCTAAATTCTTAATTAGACGTGCAATGTTGATTATATCCAACAGTTTGTCTAATTCACATCTAGATGTTTTTTAAGAATGTCACATCTAAGCTCCCACAAATATATAATGCAGCAACAAGAAACCAAAAAAAAAAACTAGGACAAAAAATAGACCACAAACAGAGTGGAAATCAGCTTAGATGTGACATAGTTATGTCACATCTAGATGTGTCCTAGACAGACCCTATATCCAATGCCACAGTTCGCATATCACATTTCCTTGTCATACTGATTGCCCATGTCAGCTCACCGATCACATAAAACTACTTGCCTGTTGCATCAATTTCTCGCTACCTCTTCTGCATCCTAATATATTCCTCTCTGCTTCTAGCTTTAATATTTTGGTTTAGAAGATTTCTTTGTCATGCTTAAAGCAACTTTTTTTTTTTGAAATGTAGACTGAATGTGTTAAAAAGCGCTGCCATTTGTTCTAATTGAGCAAATTCCCATGCCTTCCCTGGACAGATTGTTGCCTCTTCCTTCTATTGCTTTCTTGTTATGGATTTTTATTGTATTTCATGCATGATGCTGGAGTTATTGTGCGAAATTTGTTGGCTAATCCCACATTTTCTGCTCAGCAGGGTCAAATTGCTTACCCAACTGTCGATCCATTCTATGGAAGCCTTTATGCGGCCTATGGTGGACAACCTATGGTAAGCCCTTGCTACATGGTATAGCAATATCCCTAGTATAGGCCACAAGTATACCTGTGGTTGGTATGTCTAGGCCTACATTGAATATGCCTACATAGCCGTCCTGGTTCTTAGCAAGTGAAAAGTAACTTTGCATGATCGTAGACCTTGCTATACTATTGTTACTCTATTCAAACTAGTTCAGCTCATCAAACTGGTGTGTTCTTCAGATGCACCCACCAATGGTCGGAATGCATGCAGCCGCAATACCATTGCCTACTGATGCAATTGAAGAGCCTGTGTATGTGAACGCAAAGCAATATAATGCCATATTAAGGCGGCGCCAATCTCGGGCTAAAGCAGAGTCAGAAAGGAAGCTTATCAAGGGCCGCAAGGTAAATGCCTATAAGCGTATTTACGTACTGTATAACTTGAAGTTTTTAATTAGATGTTTCTGTTTCTGATGCTTCAGTATAGTTAAGAGTTGGTCGGAAGCACAAGTGCACAACAGATAGGGCAAAATAATCAAGTGAATTCTCCATTCTACATACCCTACCTCCACTCTGAAGATCGATCTGCACCACGTTTTTACTATCGTAGGGTGAACGTCATTTCATTCTTCTGCTATATCTGTATTTCAATACACCAAGTTATCAGTGCCAACATAAAAATAGCAAGGATTTGGGAATAGAAGTCAGCTGCTACACTTTGACAATTTCTAATATGGATGAAGGCAGATTTGTGCTTCCTTTGTTCATCTGGGTAGTTACTAAGCTGGAGCGAATTGAATTCATTAGTCGCAATGTAGTAAAAGGCAACACATAAATTTCAATTTCGTGGTACTTGAATGTCTGAGTTCTCAGTTTTTAACCTCGACAGAGAGACTGGTGTTGGCATTATCTGCAAAAGCTCATTTAGGACATGCATGAACCATATACAATGTTGCCAGTGCCAATTTGCTTACAGTTCTTATTCTTGGGTAGCATGTGGGATGATTATGCTAATGTTTATTCTTTGATTGTCAAGGTTTTGCTTCGTTGTGTCCTCTTTCTGTATGTTGTTAACAAAAATTGACATGTGCCTCCATTGTGCAGCCATATCTCCACGAGTCGCGGCATCAACATGCCTTGAAAAGGGCCAGGGGAGCTGGAGGTCGGTTTCTTAACGCAAAGTCAGACGACAATGAAGAGCATTCTGATTCCAGCTCCAAAGACAAGCAGAATGGCGTTGCACCCCGCAGCAGTGGCCAATCCTCCCAATCTCCCAAAGGTGCAACTTCAGCCGATAAGTCGGGAAACCATGAATGAGATGGCTAGAAGTCCGCCGGACGCGATGATCCATGCCAACAGTTTTGTACAGTATATATATGCTAGTGAGCAAGATAGAATCGCGCTGGCAGGTGCCGTAGGATATATCCGCTCTGCTCTATAGTAGTGATAGACGTATCGACCGTTTTTTTTTTTGGCAGCATTGGTCCGTGTTTGCTCGGTTTGGTTTCTACATTCTGTACAATGAGTAGATTTTTTTGTGGTTTTTGTGTTCCGGGGTTTATCCTCGGGTTCGGTCAGGAGGCTTTTGTAGTGGCTTATGAAAGAAGTATAATAGTGCTACATTGTTTCCTTTGGTGTGGATTGGTCTCTTAGTTGTGCTGCATCCTCATTCGCGGTGCAGAAAATAAAATCTGGGTATACATAATAGCTTCGCCTGCATCTTTCTTTGCCCTTGATTGCATCCGCTGCAAATGATGCTCTCATGTTTTGGTTGGATGTTGTTTCCCTGCATGATTCGGAGCCTCGTGATAAGATGTTTGCATCTCTCTGGTATATATGTTGTCCATTGAGTTCAGTTGCCTGATGATTATCAGAGTGGACTGCCGTGAACACATTTGGACCCTGGTAGAGAAGGTCAGTCAGGCCTTAAGAACTACTCCCTCCATTCCAAAATAGATGACTCAAATAAGGAGCATAGTGGATTGCCTCTGCTCGGAGTCCCTGTTCGGCCCTCTGCTCCGGGAGCAGGTGGAGTTACTCTGATCCTTAAATTCGAGGGAGCTACTGGATTGCCGAACGCTCCTTACTTTCTTTTCCCCTCTCCTGGACATTGGAATCATACTGTCATCACATGAACATTTGAATCATGACTTCTCTCCCTCGATAAGATGGAAGTTAACAGTTACTGTTACCAAGAAGAATATAGAGGCTTTCTCGAGAACACTGACTGAAGCATATACTACTGTTGGGGTACATCCTTTGTTGCACGAGCACACGACACCTTTTTTTTGCTTGCAAAAGAAGCAGAAAAGAAGAGAAGCAAAGAGCATCTCCACGCTCCAACGTCACTGTCTTGGTGCTGCGGATGCGACAGTAAAAACATTTCTCTCGAGAGGGAGAGATGACCGTGCTGTAAATTAAGAAGTAAATATAGGCAGTGTTAGTAACAAAATCATGGCCTCTCTTTCCTTGGCAACAGGCATGCAGATGTGGTCTAATTAGGTCACCATCTGAAGTTCTGAACTGGAACATGCCTGCATCTGCATGACACTCAATCAGTTGCACTGGCCCAGGTGATTAGCTTAGGCAGCACTCTGTTATTATGTCAGGTGCTCACCAATGGCCAGACACGGGCTGCCACGTCACCGTACTTCACCCTTAGCCCACAAGCCACTAATTAAGATATATATTCTAGACTGCTCATAGGAAAAGCAAAGCAACCTAGCTCACACACACATAGGATTCCTGTTACATCTTAATTAAACATGCCCATATGAAAATGCATAGTCTAGTCCCATGTAAGTACTGCGTGTCCCGACACTAATCATGCGCCCCCGCATGCATTTAGTCTAAGCATGAAATCTTCTTAGGTCAAATCTTTAATCATTAGCCCATGCAACATGCCAATATATATGTATGGCTGGTTAAGCAGTAGTAGATTCATCTTTTAAGATTTTTAAAACATGCTTAATTTGGGTGCCAATTAATCATTGTAGTACATGCATGAGCTCAGTTTCTCATGCATTTTTTTTGCGCCGGAATTTGTCCAAGTGTGTGCAGTGAGTTGCAAGTGTCTCACTGAATCAAGATATGGTCTTTTAATTGCTGATTTCTCATGGAACAGTGTGGTGAGTCTTGCCAGTGTCACACTGAAGCAAGATAACACTGTACAAACCCTCTCCAAAAGGAAGAAGATAACACCATTGGAAGAGAAGAAAAAGAATAAATAACAGCATGCATGAGCTCCCTGATGAACAGTTAAAGGGATTCTTGACATGCTTTGCTTGCACTACAAAACCAGGCCCCATCCCTCCTCAAAGGGCGTTGTTGCACTGCACTGCACCACACCACACCATGTCACCATGCCATGCATCTTCCTCTAGATCTCTCTCCCTCTCTCTCTAGGAATGTTTGGAAGGAAGTGAGGAGAGAGAGCAAGAGGGGGGCATGGGGGCAGAGCTAGGCATGGGAAAAGTGACATGAGCCCTTATGATGGCAATGGCAGGGGAGACAAGGCAAGCAGGGGTGCACATACACACACAGCCTCAGCACATTGGTGCAAGGCAGGCAGAGAGCTGGCCTTCGGCTTCAGGCCCATTGACCTCACACCCTCTCCCAGTGTCCATCATGACCCATTAATTGTTCTGCTATATGGTTTCTATTCTTGTTCTTTTCTTGCAACATGCATCACACCACAATAAAGTTCCATGTTCATGGTTGCCATGTTCTTTCACTGCATTTGCACCTACTACAGTTCCAACAGGCATACACTACCAAGTACCCATGATGATCTTCTACTTGTCAAGGATGACACCAAGCAGCTTACAGTTAATCACAATGCACTAATGCAGATTAAGTCACCAGACAAAGCTAGTTCTCATTGATGTGTGGTAGCTAATTGAGTAATAAGTACAGACACATCTCACACAAGTCATGTCAATCCTTGCATTCCTCTGGTGTTCTTGTGGCTTTGGCCCTAGATAGGATGGCTGCCCCTTTTGATGGCCCCCATTGCAAACCAAAAGCATATGCACAAAAGCGACATGACATACGAGTATGTCTGGCACCGGCGATCAGAAGAGCATGTATGATTGTCCCCAACCATGAGAGACAATCTTGCAAGAATGTGTCATGGAAAAAGCACAAAATATGCAATGGCATGTTGTGCATGTCAACCCTAGGAGAGAAAAGAAAAGAGAACAAACAAGCATGCCCTCAAGAATGCAGAAAAGTGCTGTGCTTTTGTGCCCTCTCTAAAACCCTTTCTCTCTCTAAAACACACGCTCTCCCTCTCTTTTTTGAATGTGAAAAAGACAATGACAAGCTTGGGAGTGAAGGGAGATGGGTGGCCAGCACTCTCACTTGTCACCCATGGAAGGGATGGAAAGAAAGGGTTTTTATTGGAAAGTGATGGTTGGTGCCCCCCCCTCCTCTCCTCATGCCAAGAAAGTGGCTTTCACCACAAAGTAGGGGTCCTGCTAGGGTTTTTAGGGGGGTTAAGCCTGTGAGAGTGTGATAGATGGATAGCACACCACTACAGCTTAGTAGATGTTTTGTGATAGATCAGCACAACACACTGAAATGTGATCAAATGGAGTTTGGTTGCATGATCTTGACAAGATTGCTTTTGCTCTGGGTTTGGACTTTGGAAAGCTGTGCTTGTGATGTTGTGAGGGGCAGAAATGCTCAGCCTTTCTTTTCTTTTTTGCTCTTATTTTTATGCCACTTAGTCTAGTCTCTCCTTTTTGTTACTATCCTCTAAGGAAAGCTGGTCATCGAAAAGTAACACATGATTTCTCAAGAATTCAGAGTGTGAAAGTGATAGTGTAGCTGAATCTGAATATGACAACACACACAAACTCCATTTGATGGTTAAAAAGTAAGCAGTTGAAACTGAACTCCAGTCAATTTATATGCTACATGCATGCATGTCTTGATCATGAATCCATCCTAAACTCAAAACCACAGGTGATTAATCAGATGTTAATCAGTACTGCTACCATCACAAGAGCAGCCACACTAGCATGTAATGCCTGGAGCAAGCAGCAATGACAGCCCATTGAATGCACTGTGTCAGTCAGTCATGCAGCAAGGAAAGCTCTGAAGCCAGCCAGTAGCTTGCCATATCAAACCCAGCACAGGCACTTGGGCTTAGATGCCTCCAGCCAACCAATCCACACTCCACACACCTAATGATCATCAAGCCCATTAACTGCACCAGGTGCTTAAATGCAGCAGGATCTTTGCTTGCTTGCATCCATCCAACCATCAGCTTTTACTGCCTGCCACCCTGAAGCAGCAGCCAGGGCACACCCACTTTCCCAGGAAATTATTTCATCCTAGGTCTTTTTCCAGCTTGGTGCTGATGCATGCATGCAAGGAGCAAATCTTGGCCCCTAGATCATGTTTGGCATTTTTGGAGCTGCATTTGAATGAATGCACATCCACCACCTTTCTTGCAGCTGGAAGGGAGAGCAGATTGCAAGTTTCTTTCTTTCCTCGGTGGTGAAAGAAAGAAAGAAAGGAAACTTGTGAGCAGGAGAGGATCCATGGATTCCTTTCAGCTGTTTCATCCTAGATCCTTCTTTCATGCAAGGGCAGCCTGTTAGGGTTTTGTGGTGGTGGTGGTACTGTGGCTCTGTTTTTAGTAGCATTCAAGTGTGGCTGGTGTGTGTAAATGCCAAAGAGAAAGAGGAACATGGCAAGCTTCCTCTGTGACTCTGTGAATCAATAACCTACCTAGGCTGATGGGGACAGGGGCTGATGGACAGTGGCGACTGCGTGCGTACGCTCCTTGTTTGTATTGAAACAGCAAAGGAAATTTATTCAGATCTGAATTGATTGCAAACTGTATCTATCTGACAGGAGGGGCAGTAGTAGTACCAACCTTGTGAGCATCAGTTATTCTGTCAAAAATGTTTTGTGACATGACAATGTGCCAAGAAGTTTCACAGGTACTAATGCATGATCTACAGATACTACAACTGTTATATAGTACAACTGTTGAGTACTAAAACACTGTTTGATATCTGAAATCTTCAGTATAACATGTAATTTTAGGGAAATTTCTCCGCGCCGTGCCAATAAAGATTCTACGGGCCAATTGTAGAGCGACAGCAACCAAAGAGCTCAAAACTATGTCGTTTCTCGGTTTTCGCCCGGTTTTTCGTTAATTAACCGGGTAATTCTTTTCTTCTTAATTAATCGATGAGGCAAATCTTTTGCCTCCGTTTCGAAGAAAAAAACTATGTCGTTTCCGGCCTCGTTTCGGCTACCTTTCGATTTACAATTTCATATGCCTTTTCACGCATTCTCGC